GATTCTTTTTTGCTGTTCTAGTTAGGTGTTTTCTGCTACCTTATCTTCTAAATCGCAGATTCAATCCTCTGTTCATCTAATCTACTGTTGATTCCTTCTAATGTATTCTTTATTTCAATTGTTATATTTTTCATTTCTAATTGGTTCTTTTTTTATGTTTTCTATTTCCATTTTTATGTTTCCTATCTCTTCGTTGAAATTCTCACTGAGATCATTGAGCATCCTTACAACCAGTGTTTAGAACTCTGTGTCTGGTAGGTTGCTTGTCTCTATTTTGTTTAGTTCTTTTTCTGGAGCTTTATTCTTTTGGCAGGGAGGGGCATATTTCTTTCTGTCCCTATTTTGGCTGCCTTCCTTTGTTTGTTTCTATGTATTAGGCATGGCTGTTATGTCTCCCAGTCTTAGTAGAGTGGTCTTATGTAGTAGGTGTCTTGTGGGTCCCAGTGGCACAGTCTCTCTAGTCACCTGAGCCAGTGTTCCAGGTGTGTCCCTTGTGTGGGTTGTATGTGCTCTCCTGTTGTAGTTGAACCTTGGTTGCTGTTTGCATGTTAGTGGGAAGGATTAACCCTCAGGCTGATTGGTTGTGTTGGCTGTGAGTACAGTGGAAGAGCTGTTGTTCTGGGGCTGATCTTGTGGAGCAGGATTTGCTTTAGCAGGGCTCTGATGCCTGCCTACTTTGCCCCTTGGGTGTGTTGTCCTTGGAGGTGGCTGGGTAGTGCTCCGGCTCAGTCTGAAGCTGGTCACCAGGTGTGCTGGCCCTGGGGCCTCCTGGGAGGGGCCCTTCTACAGGCCTTGTTTAGTTGCAGCCTGTGCTCTGCCCAGGGCCAACTGGCATGCACCACAAAGCAATCCACAAATGGCCATCCCCTGCGTTGGGTTGAAGTTGCCTAGCAGAGGCTAGGCTTTGAACTGACTCTGGCTGCCATCAGTGCTGGGTTTGGGGCAGCTTAGCAAGAGATATGGGCATGCTGAGGCCAGATAGTGCTTATTTGGGGTTTGTGATCCTTTGTGAGATTTTAGGAAAGTTTATGGCATGAGCCAAGACAGGCTGCTTGTATGGAAAAGCCACTGGAAATGGCTTGCGGGGGTTGGGCCCGCAAGTTGGGTGGGGCGGGATATCTGGGAATCACCAGGGTGGGGCGAACAGTGATAGCCAGGTTGATGGAGATTCAGATATGGTGCTCCCCTAAGTTTGTATGTTGGGAGGAAAGAGAGTTCAACAAAGTAACAATGGATTCTGCCAGCTCCTCCATCCATCCGAGAGAAAGCTGCCCTGCATCCTTCGAACTGAAGCCAAACAACTCAGTTCCTTCCCGTATATTCCTGGAACATTTCAAGCTGCTGCCCCAGTGCTGGAGCTTGGACTGAGTTTATCAGTGAGTCTGTGCGTGGTCCCTTTAAGAGGAGTTCCTGGAATTCCAGTCACTCTTCATCTCACTCAGCTACAATCTCTGCTGGGGACTTCTTTTCCTGGCAACGGAACCCTGGGCTGGGAAGCCTTACCCCCCATGAGGGACTTCTGCAGCTGAGATATTTCTCCCAATTTTTAACCACCACACACGGATGTGGGACTAGCCTGTCCCACGTCTCCACCCTTCTTATTATTCCTGGTGTAGTTTCCTCTGTATGTCCTTAGTTGTAGGACCTTTGTTCAGCTGGACTTCAGGCCATTCTCAGTGATGGTTGTTCTGTAGTATAGTTGTAATTGTGATGTGGTCATGATAGGAGCAAGCCCATCATTTACCTACTCTACCATCTTGACCTGAAATGGTATCTCAAACTTATGTTAAATGGTCTGTTTTTCAATCATGTGTCAGTTTTTGCTTCATGTATTTGGGTCTTTGGTTTTAATTGTGTATATATTTATAATTATTGTATCTTCCTCTCATATTGACCTTTTTATTAATATTATCATAAAAATGTCTCTTAGTGTCTAGTAATATTTTTTGTCTTAAAATCAATTTCAGCTGATAGTAATATAGCCACTCAAGTTCTCTTGTGGTTACTGTTTGCATGGTATATCTTTTCTATCCTTTCACTTTCAGCCTCTTTGTGTTTTTGGATTTAAGGTATGTGTCTCTTGTAAACAGCATATAGTTGGGTCTTTTTATCCAGTTTGACAATCTCTGTGTTTAGTCCATTTATATTTATTGCAGTTATAAAAAAGTTTATTTATGAGTAGCTATTTTGCTATTTGTTTTCACTATGTTTCATGTCTTTGTTGTTCTCTTTCTTTCTATATCAAATATGTGTAAGGTACCATTTTAATTCTTTTTGGTTTATAAAATGTATTTGAGGGTTTTTAATTCATTGCTGAAGGATTATAGTATGCATCTTAACTTCATACAGTAACTTCAGATTACTAACCTAATTCTGCTAAAATATTGAACCTTTGCTTCAACCTCAGTCTATTACCTCTCCCCTCCCTTTGTGCTATTGTCATATTTATTGCTTCTATAGATTTTTTTTAAAGCTTTTTATTGGGGAATTTGGGGATGGGAACAGTGCTGGGGAATTGGGGGAAGGGGAACAGACAAGTTGCTGTTGTTTTGTTCTTCACTCTAGTTGTGGAGGACGTTGCTTCACTGGCCCAAGTTGGCACCATCATTGCGCTCTTCCCAGGCGAGGCAGATCAG